ACTAAGGCACAGGTTAGGATATAGCTATCTATTGGAATCCCAGTTGTCCAAACACAGCCATGCAGTTATTGGCTTGCAAAGCACCTTAAAATATATTGAAAACAAACATTTTTGAAATATTTAGACGTTTTGATTTGGAGATAACACATGGTCAGACATGAATGCTTTTAAATGACGTATGTTCACAACCTTTTATATAAAGATACTCTTGAATGCATGCTTTTATTGAAGTTTTTTTAACAAAATGCTGATGAATGCAGAATTAGGATGGAAAGGATCTACAGTGATGCCTCGCAAGAAGAAAATAATTCGTTCAGCGAGTCATTTCATATTGTGAACATTTCGTCATGTGAATTTTCCCATAGGAATGCACTGGGGGAAAATTCGTCTTGCGAAGCTCAGCCATAGAAAAATGCATCTTGCGAGTCACCAAAAAAATTGCAAAACGTTTTCGTGTTGTAAGTTTTTCATTGCACGAGGCATTCGTCTTGCGAGCCATCACTGTATAAGTGAATACATGCAAAAATGACATGAGCGGTAAACAGGCTTCCTTCTGTTCTTGCTTCTGAGCTACAGTGGCTCATAAGCAGCAAAATATGTAGAAGGAAGCTTCCATGTTCCCAAAGGGAGAAAGTTTGCTGATGGTGTGCAAAAAATAAATGGAAATTATTCCATTAATAATATGGTATGGAATATGTTCCTTGTGGAAGTTTTCAAGTAAAAGCAAAACGTTGTTTTTAAATCAAGTGCATGTTTCAGCTAATGTAGCTTGTCCATTTGAATTACTCCCGTAGGTAATCTAGCAACCATGTTCAACATCACTTGTGAAACTAGCTTTGGTGAAAGGCAGGGGTGGATACAGAACACAATAAGCAAAAAAAAAGCCCGTACACCATTACCAAAATGAGCCATATAAAATTAAAATAATTAACATGTTCTTGGAAGCACCAGGATACATTTTCCCCTTGTTTTTTAATTAAGTGTTTTAATTAATTTCAACTAACCATCAGTCTTTGCAATGAGAGCACGTATTACACGGCAGAGGCTTCCCAGTTTAAGACACCCTGCAGCTATCTTTGATTATAGGACTGGAAGGATGGCTTCCTTAAGCCTAACTGGTATTTATTCTCTTAGGTTTTGCATTCCAGTTTGCTTACAATGATAAATGATTTATAATTTTGTATGCCCTTAAATGAAACCGCATGCAAATTGCTAACCTTCTTTTATTGGGTTGCCTATAGGCTCCCAAGAGAGTCAACTGGGAGTCTACATTACAAGCAGAACTTATTTCTGAGTAATAAGGATGTCCAAGTTATATCTGAAAATCAATATAACAGGAAGCTGTGAAGTTACTTTATGGTGCAATGAGTAACATTTCCTAGTTACTTCCAAGTACAGTCTTGATGTCAAACTACATGTTGAATAAAAAGAGGCCCAGAAATTTGACAGAAAAGAAAGTAGCCATACTGCTTTGAACCCTGTTACATACCTATGCTGTTGTAATTCTAACTGCATACATTTCAGGGGTGAATTGCTGCCCATTAAGAAGCCAGTGATTGCTTTTCTTGTCGTGTGCCATGCCACAAAATTGCTCCATGACAAGACTTTTTAACTGCTACCAACTAGGTGATGAAAGTTATGTCGCTGGAGTTATGCTGGCGGATGTAGGTAACAGGATTCTGGCCACCAAGTATGAACACCGTGAGAGCATGTAGCATTTGCAACCTGCTCCATTGGAGAGACCAACTTTATCAGTTCTTCAGAGTTAACCAAACCCTGTCACCAGGGACTGAGACAAATATTGTTGGATTCATGCGGAAGCTAAGTACTCTAAATTCCCATTTAGTACCTCAGATTATGAGAGGATTCTAACTATCAAACAAGAAGAGGGAAGAGAAAAACTCTTCAAAAACTCGTATTTTGGAGGGTTTTTTTGGTTATGCTATGGGACTCTTAAACTAGACAAAAGCTTGGGACCTCAGCATGACTTTATCCAGCACTGCATTGGACTTGTTTATTAGCAATAGCCAGTTTCTCTTCTAAAACAGCTATTCTTCCTGAATTCATTCAATGATAAGCCAATAAATGATTGGCTTTTCCTTCCACCCACGAAGGTTCTTCTCTTTGTTTTTCATGACAAGGCTACGTGTCATTATCTTGCCAAAATTTATTATCAGCTTTCTTTCTGCTTTTGCAGTTGCTTCAGTTAAGCCCTCGTCAGCATTAAGCAATTCAGTGGCGAACAGGAGACGGATTCCTCTTTCAGGAAGGGTTTCAGTGGCTCACCAGCTGCTATGCTTGTGCTGCAAGGAATACGCTTACTCTTCTGCAGAGACTTGTTTACTTGTGTGTTGCCAGTGTGTAGGTTTGGGGTCAAATCCACGGCCCTTCCCATCTGTCAGAGACAAACACGGGAACATTGGAAGAACTTTCAGTCCTTCTCACAGCGACGTCAGTTCAATTCAGGGCAGGGATTCAGGGAGATAAACACGGGAAAGCATCAAATATGCTGGGAATTGAATCTTTTGATTTCTTAAGACCACAAATCCCATAATTTCCCCATTCTGGGAGTACTCCCTGTCAGAAACCTTACCCTAAATAAGGCCTACTAGGCAGGAAAGGAAGGCGTTGAGATTTAGCTAGCCCTTACTCCATCTAAGCTTCTTGTTCCTGTCCCAGTGTTAGCTGGGAGTTTTCTTTCTGAACAGGAAGCTATGCAGAGCTAGGCCTAGCTGGACAGTCTGGCCCCAGGATCCGGACCCTTGTTAAATCCAAATACCGGATACCCACATCTCTAATGACAACATAAGCATCATGATTATCTGTTGGACCTCCCTAGTCCATGCATATTATCTACCATAATGAAGCATCACACCGACACCAAGGTTTCATCTTGTATTGCACATATTGGAGTAAATCATATGTTTGTTCTACTTAAAGTAGGTCTGTTAAAATCCCTGAGATTTATGTAAGTGATGATAACTAACAAGTCTAATATATTTTAATGAGTCTACTCTAGTTGAGAGTCCCCTGGACTGCAAAGAGAACAAACTTATCCATTTTGAAGGAAATCAACCCTGAGTGCTCACTGGAAGGACAGATCCCGAAGCTAAGGCTCCAATCCTTTGGCCATCTCATAAGAAGAGAAGACTCCCTGGAAAAGAGCCTGATGCTGGGAAAGAGTGAAGGCAGGAGGAGAAGGGGACGACAGAGGAGGAGATGGTTGAACAGTGTCATCAAAGCGACCAAAATGACTTTGACCCAACTCTGGGAGGCGGTGGAAGACAGTAGGGCCTGGCATGCTCTGGTCCATGGGGTCATGAAGAGTTAGACACGACTCAACAACCAAACAACAACAACTCTAGTTGAGAGTAAGACTGTATGTACTTGGTTGTTGTGGTTTTTTTTGGGCTACTCCAGTCCTCTGAAGATGCCAGCCACAGAGACTGGCAAAACGTCAGTAAGGACAACCTTCAGAACATCGCCAAAGAGCCCGAAAAACCCACAACAACCATTATATCCCGACCGTGAAAGCCTTCACGAATACACTGTATGTACTTCTCTATTTGTAAGTTTCTGTAGCTAACAACTCTCTACCCTCTTTCCCTTCCACCTTTTTGGCATTTCTAACTTCTCTATTTGTAATTTTCTGTAGCTAACAACTCTCTACTTACTTTCCCTTCCACCTTTTTGGCATTTCTAAGCATGTGGTAGCAACAACATGCATTGGGATTTCACACAAATCCAGTTTCCTCAGATCCATGGTTACATAACCAATTTTAGACATTAATTTCAAATACTTGTTTAGAGAGGTGTAGATTACCCTAAATGCTTGGGGCTATTAGTCAAAAACATGTTAGCCTTAATTAACCACTGTCCTTGTCCTCCATAAAGTCCTACTCTGCCACCTCAGCATAGCCTGGTCTCCTCAAGACTGGCTATGCCTAGTGGACTGTGTCTCAACTCTCCAAGAACAGGTCAGCTAATCAATGCTAGGTTCATCCTTGAAAGATTGGCCAACTACAGCAACTACAAACACAACAATGAAGCGAAACAATTACAATCTAAATCAATTGAGGGACTAGCTCTACCCACAGAATCATAGATCTTTTCTAGATCTTTTTCACGGTGACATGGCCAACAACCCTGTTCAAATACAAGTTTTTCAAGGTGACATGGCCAACAACCCTGTTCAAATATTGTGCTAAACATAACGGATAATCAGTGAAGTAACTACCAATCAGTGCACAATAAATACATTTCTTTACCTTCGTGAACACTACTAGTGAGTACCATTGTTCCGTGAGAACATGGGATTACCAATCAGTTCCAGAGTCTATGCGCGCTGGGCAAACCACAACATAAAAGAGAATCTTGTTGGGCTTGTGCATTCCACACTTTTGCCTTTACCATTGCTTTATACCCTACTTTGCTTAGGTGATGCTCATGGTAGCTTATATGGTTGTCTTCCTCCAAAATAACAGAGTGCTGATGACTTATGTGCAAACATATACATCGACCACATACTGGTGCAAATGAAGCGAGCATGGAATCGCAGAACAACTGAGTTGGAATGGGTCTAAAAGGTCACTGAGTTTAATCACCTACTCAATGCAGGAATCCAAATCAAAGCAGATTTGACCGATCCTTGTCAAAGAGCACGGGTAGAACTGTAGCAACAATGTGGTGCAATCTGATGCATGTTTACTTATAAGAACGTCCCATTATGTCCCAAATAATCATGTCAACAGCCCTGTTCTGAAACTTCAAGCTCAACATCATCAGCTTTCTCAACTCAGCATACCTTAAACCACTGCTCCAAATGTCTCGGTTATGTTTCCATTCTCATTTAAGCTTTACAAACTCAATCGAAATGAACACAAACCAAATGACCTCCAACATCCCTTTCAAACCTGTCTCTTCACTTTTGAAAGCTAGAACTCTGATCTTTGGCCCGCAGCAGAGTAAGAAGAATATTATAAGTGATTTTTAATACTTACACATTTGTTTTAGCAGGAGCTTCTGTGGATTACCATTCTCCTCTTCAAACCTTCTCAAAAGAGACATATCCAGGGGAGTAGATGCGATGATCTGTTGCTGGAAAAGACAACAAAGAATTTTCTGTTTCTACTCTTGTTTACTGACCTTTCAATTTAAACCAACAAAGAGTTTTTGTGACACCTTAAAGACTGTTGTCATTATGTGACCTCAAGTTGCTTCGAATAACCCTAGCAAGGTTTTCAAAGTAACAACCACAACCACCCTCAGTGAGTTTCTATAGCAAACTGGATCTTGAACTTAGATGTTTTGAATATCCTAGTCTGACTCTCTGTCCATCCACCACACTATTCTAGCTCTCACACCTCAAAGAGGAACAGTTTTTATCTGGCACGTGCAAGCTTTCATGGACTGCAGCCCACGTCTTCAGCTGTATCAGCTGCATCTGGTAAAGTGAGCTGCAGCCCCTGTTTCCTAGGCTGAACTAACAAAAAACTGTTAATCTTTAAAGTCTCACAAGACTTGTTGTTTTAAAAAAGAAACCAAATGGAGCACCTCGACTTTTTTCCGCTCCATCTATCAACCTTGGATCCAGGTACCCCAGAACTGGAGAAGGCAAGGAACTGTGGGTAAATTCCTGAACCAGGGATTTCTTAGCTCCTGTATGGGGGACATACGATTCTCCACTTCTTGTTGAGGACCACTCATATCAAACCTCACCACAGGTTAGGCCAGGCAGCACTGACAAGAATGGCAAACCAACAAAACCTTGAAAACCACATGCGTTCCTCAGCCTTGCAAGGACCTAGAGTAAGGTGTTAACATGGGGCTGTGTGTTGTCAGGGTCTCAAAGCCTTCTTCAATCTGTTGTTGTTGTTTTTTTTGTCTTCAGCTGATCAACATGACCTTCCACTCTGTCCTTCAAACTCTCCTATGTCTTAGCGTTCAGTACCAGCAACCAGTCTCGGGGAGCCTGGGTTCCAGAAGAAAGTGTCCATAACAAGAGGGTCACTAAGAAAAAGCCTGCCTAATGAGAAATGTTAGGAAGAACAACCTTCAGAACACGGCCAAAGAGCCCGAAAAACCCACAACAACCAGAAAGCTCTTCGTCTGCTTGTGGAAGGACAGCAATGATGGGGTCAGCCCAGCCTCATGTGGGAGGGAGTTCCACAGTCTTGGAGCAGGCCCTGTCTTGTGTACCCAACAAAATGCACCTGTGAAAGTGGTGGGACTGAGAGAAAGGCCTCTCCTGATAATCTTAAAGCTTAGGTGACTTAAGTGAGGGATTATAGAAATTAATGGAGCATAAAACTGCTGGTCAGATGGTTTGTTGTAGTGGATAGTGTTGGACTAAGATTCAGGAGACCCAAATTCAATTTCCTGCTTGCCCACTGAAACTCACACTCACACTGCACTAGGGGTGCCATCAGTTGGAAGAGATTTGAGAGGACATAACAACAAAGCCAACGATAACAACAGTTCACAAATGATGGCTGCACGTTATCCCTGCACATAGAGAACGCACATAGAGAGGTATCTAGGACTAAATAACGATTTTGAAGTCAATACACCTCTGATTAGATCCAGCGATGCTTTTGGTTTTCAAATGCCGTGGTTTTCACTATGCATAGTAACAGTGGGTCACAGCATCCTTCAAGACCACTCTTTTCCTATACATGAGAAGCGAAGAAGTGTGTTCCTTCTTGCCTCCCACTTGACAGCACGAAAAACAAACAAAGTTTCTCTGGCTTTCATAATAATGAGATGCCGCCGGTCACCAGTCACGTCTGCAACGTGCCTGTTCCACTGGTAGCCGCCGTGTAACACGATGTCTGTTTGACAATCAGAAATGATCAAATAAAAAAGGTCTTTCCCATTTGGATTTAAGGACAGGTAAACAACCTTTGAGACAAAATTCCCAGCTGCTGGAAATTGCACATGTTTTAAAACATATGCCCTGGCAGTAAATCCACTACAGTACCTGCTTGTGCTATGCTTTAAAGAAATAGCTAATCATCAGTGTCCTCTATTTTAAAACACATACACACAGACCCCCCCCCAAAAAAAACACTTCTGCCATTTGATTAAAGGGGATGTCTTACACTTCACTTTCTACACTGCAATATTGCCAGTGTATCCCTTAATTGGAAGCAGAGGCATCAAATCATCTATCATTAAGGTGCCTGGACAAGACCTTCGTTTACTTCATCAAAAGTATGACAACCTTCGCAAGCAACGCCCGTAGAGAAAAGAACAAATGACAGTGCCGTGTACACTTGTCAAGCTGTTCTATCCGCCTGCAAATAGTTCAGTGGGTTGGAGCACCAACAGTTGGGAGTCGACATGAGCACGAAGCACTCCGTCGTGCTTTCTCAACATTCGACCACTCAACGGCTGCACAGCAAGAATCCCCACTGTGCCTCCTCATCCGAGTGGTCAGCTGCCAGAGGAGGCGGGGAAGGAAACGGCCACCCGAGAAGGAGGACCCAGGGCAGCGCACACTGGATGGTGACTGGGGCGACTCGGTGGGGAGTGGGGGGAGCAGCACCTGTGGTGCCACATGGATGAATTTTGACAAACTTTGTCGGCTTCGTTCCCATCTCTAGTTAGGAGTTTGATACTCCTTCCCCCACTGTCCCAGCTATTTGGGGAGAGCATCCCTAAAGCTTTCCTGAATAGCTTTGTTTTTAGGAGCTTTTTAAATATATGAAGGAATGGCGCCTGCAGAAGATCATTCCACAGAGTGAGAAAGCCCAGTTCCGGATTACTGTTTTCAGGGCTCCTCTAGGTGTCAACACCTGCAGATGGGACATGCAGCTGAACTTGGCAGGAAATATTCGGACATTTCTTTGCCAGAAGATGAGATAAACATAGACACCTCTTTTCTGCTGCTCATGTTCTCCACAACCTGCAGAAAATACCTGTCCTTTCCCTTTAAGAAGCAAAGCCTACTTGCCCACCCACACACAGTGAGTGCAAAGTGACCAGCTGATCATTACAAAAGATGGAAATAGCCTATCTAGTGCTTCAGTCCTTTATAAAAAGCAGCAACCGTCCTGATTTCAGTGGTTTACACAATTCATGCAATTCACAAACCACACCATTTTGTGTGTGTGTGCGCACGCACGCACGCGTACGCACACACGCGCGCACACACACACACAAAGTGGATGCTACCATTCCTCGCTCTTCCCTGCTAGGATACGGTAAGCAAGGATGGAAACTCCTACTGTTAAGTAAGACAATGTCTAACACAGATTTATTGAAGCTTGTGAATAGAATTATTTGGTAGCTCAGTGGCTTAGGTATCTGGATACAGAGCCAGAGGTTGGGAGTTCAAGTCCCCACAGGACCTCCTGTGAGTACAGCCAGCCTATGTGGCCTGGGGCAAGCTGCACACAGTCCCAGGGCACCCTCAGAAAGAGGGAACAGTTAAAACCACTTCCGTGTATTCTCTACCTAGAGGGTTGCCATAAGTCAGAATTGACTTGATGGCAGATGATTGTTATTATCAATGCCAAAACAAACCATTTCCAAGTGCTGAACGTTATAGCCTAGCTATGTTCCTTTTAATGTGTCTTCTTATTCCTGTGAGATTAGGCAGACATGGAATAAGCCAGTGATCCCCAACCGTGGGCCTCCAGATGTTCTTAGACTTCAACTCCCAGAAATCCTGGCCTGCAGAGGTGGTGGTGAAGGTATCTGGGAGTTGTAGTCCAAGAACATCTGGAGGCCCAAAGTTGGGGACCACTAGAATAAGCCACCACCGATACCCCAGCCAAAGAAGAAGCAGAAGCAGTGGGTGATCCAGTCTTGTATGTCTGGGATACTTTCTGTGCGCTTTCATTTGCCGGAGGGAAGCCAGCAACCCGTTGGGGCTTCCAGAATGAGGGCATACCAGAACTGTGATGTTATGGTCAAAAAAAAGGTATAAACCCCCAAATCGAGACACAGGATTACGTTGTTATGGGGGATGAATAGGGTGATGCTGGATTTTTTGTTTTTTGTTTTTAAAGTGTAGATGAGGCGGCATTGAGGCAGTAAATTGTAAACACTACCATAAAAGACTGGGTTACAGCAAGATCAATGGCCTGGAGAACTATTTATTTCTTTTCTGCTAGAAGGTAGACTGGGAATGGAATTAGTGGCTAATACTCTCAGAAACACAATGCAAGAGGTGCAGAAACGAACACAAAATCACATTTTTACATTCCAAGGCAAAGCCGTAAATACTTCACTTTCCTTTGCACTTACACTCACGTCATCTTCACGAAAAACTATATTACAAGACTGACACAGACTCGCCTGGCCTGAATCAATATTTCTACATATATTCCATTTGCAGAAAAGGGAGATATATTAGGTTAATATTTCATGACACCGAAAGACACACACACACACACACACAGAGCAGAGAACTGCCGCCCCCAGAGGTTTTTGGAGAAAAAAAAACCCACTAAAAATAAGCAATTGATGTCCTCAAATTTAGAAAGCGCATTAAATTACACCGATTAAACTTGGAAGGAAAGCAACATGCTGGAGTGGAAAGAAACTTTTCTATCTACACTTGAACTCTTATCGCTCATCTCCCACACATACAGCACATGAAGGTTTGGGACAATTCCCATTATTATCTGCAACAAATCATGGCGCCAGGGTTAGAATTTTAAACACATGAAGGTTAGATCTACCATAATGTTTCATATATATATATACAGTGGTGCCTCGCATAGCGAGGTTAATCCGTTCCGGATTAACCTTCGCTATAGCGAAACATCGCTAAACGGAATTTAAAAAGCCATAGAAACGCATTGAACTTCGTTCAATGCGTTCCTATGGCTTGAAAACTCACCATTCAGCGATGTTTCTTCATAGCGCCGCCATTTTCGCGCCCTCGTTAAGCGAGGGCAGGGCGCGAAAATGCGGCGCGGACCTTCCGGCGGCCATTTTGGAACCGCCGATCAGCTGTTCTCCCCGGCTTCGTTATGCGAAGATCGCTAAGCGAATCGCTTAGCGATCATCGCAAAGCGAAAAAACCCCATAGGGGCCATCGCTGAGCGAATGCTACAGCGATGGCCCAGAGTGCCTCGTTAAGCAAT